TAAGTATAGAAATCAAAGCTTTTCTCTAATCAGGCCCCATTGACTTAGTACGGAGCCCTCTAATTTCTGTAACATTTTAAACCAAAATATATCATCTGAACCTAAACGTAGTCATTATTTGTTCCTCTTTTCAAAGAGAAAACAATACCCACAAAACAGTATTCCTAGTAAGAAAGTCCACACACACAGGGTAACCTCCGCATTACCTCTATCATCCCAATCCCCAAAGATAAATCATGACGATAGAACTTTACAAAATATCCCATGTATCTGAAGGGTTTGTTACTCTTCATCTCAGAGCCCTAAACACAGAGCTGGAATGAGGCTCTACTGATTTTGTATAAAGGACAGTAGTCGGTCAGAACCACTAGGAAGTTGCTAGTAAGAACCATTATCTCCTCCAGAATTCGGCAAGATGGTAACTGATGTAACTAAAAGTGAAAAACTGGTTGGTGCTAACGGGTCATAGAACAAGACTGGATGTGAATTCCATTTTCCAGGCAGCACCCGCACCAGAAGCTGCAGTGTGCTTGGAGAACCCACCTGCAAATCGTCCTGCTCCTCCTGCAATCAGCATGGTGCTGTTGGTTTTGCCTGTGCGTCCACACACAGGATAGTAACCAGCCTCAGGGACTTGTGTAGGGGAAGGCGCTTTTCCTATGAAATATATGAAAAACATTAATAAACTTCCTCTCCAGGCTAATCCCAACTCCTTTTCTAAGCCTCCAGTTAGCGTTTTCTCCTCCTGTTCTCATACCTCTTTCGCTGTCATCACTTCTTACTAAACTGGTCCGCTAGCCTCCTCACTGGCTTCCCTGCCCTCCACTCACCCCAGGCCCTGTGCAGGGCTGATGGGCTTAACTCTAGCTTTAAGTATCACTCACCAGAGCCTCCCCGGTCCTGAGTGGTCAGAAGAGGACTTCCTACAAATAATCCTTAAAGGCACAGGACAAAGGAAGGGCGGGAAGGTGAGGACCCGAGGTTGCAGGGAAACATAGTAGAGAGCCAGGGCTTTTTAAGAGCTACGGGGGCTCCAATTCCAACTCTACTGGCTGTGTGACTTCACGCAAGATGGTTTCTAAAATGGCAAAACCATTTACCTAGTGATTAGATATTACTGCGAGGAGTTAAGTAGCTATTGTAAAAGTAAAATGGTGTCTGGCGTTCCAGGAAGGTTAATTCCTTGCCTTGCCCCTATAATTAGCAAGATATGACACAGCTGATGCGCTAAATTACAGTACCTAGATGAGGCCCACGTGGGCACCCAGGGGGCCTGAGCAGGCTGTGAGGCAGGTCAGGAGCCATTTCCAGGCATTGGTGACACCGAGTCTCCTGGGAGGGTGGCTTTATGATCCCTGGGACCACAGATTGCAATCCTGGAAACAGAGGCTCAGGGAACTTCTGAGCCCAAGAACTTCCATGTTGCCTCTTTTTTCTTCCTCTCAGTGTTTATTTCATCTCTGTATGTTGCATCTCCTCCAACTTATTTATTGACTTTCCTGGCTTCTTCCTTTGGTGGGATCCTCTGTGATTTTCCTATGGTATTAAAGAGGATGTGTATGTTGGTTTCTTCTTGTGTTTATACATTTAACTCATTTCAAATGCCTCCCTTGCTTTGGGGTCTCCAGGCACACGAGCAAAACAAACTGTTAGAAGAAACGTGCAGCTGTGATTCTTCTTGGAGGAAATGGCAGACGGAAGGGACAGTAGCACATCACCAAGTAGTTACCAGTCACCATGGAGCAAACACCCAGCACCACCGTGGGGCCTGGACACACCCCAGAGACGGCAGGCCGGCCCTCAGGGATCCTTGTCTCCAAGCCAGTGTTGCCTGAGTCACGGCCTTGGCACTCATGACATTGAATCATTTAGTGAAAAGGTTATTCATTCTTCAATACTCTATCTTTCCTTCCAGGCCACGAACAGTTCCTAGCTCCAATTTAATAGCAACATATTTATTTATTGGAAGTATTTATTGTATGTATTTTTATGACTACCCATGCCATTAGTTTTCCCCTTACCATGGTGGTTAAAAAAAAGAAGCATCTCTTTAAATTACTTATTCTGGTAAAGATGTGAATTTAAAGAAAAGTACCACATTAAGATGCCCAGCAGTGAACACAGCCTATGTGAGCCACAGAGGTCTGGGGGGAGCTGCATGGGGCTGTGGGGACATCCTCCTGGTCCTGCAGAGTTCACATCACTTTTGGGGGGAAGGAGCTTCTGAGGACTTCAGTGACAGGACACAGGCAGGTCCCCCGGGAGGGGCCCGTCTCCTGGTCCCGTATGTTGAGGCCACATATTTCTGTTACCTGTATCTGAACACTTTGATTCAAGCCCTGGTTTAACAACCAGGAAAAACCAGCCACCCTTTTGGGTGGTCTTCAGACCAAACCAGCTGCTTTCTTCACAGATTCAGAGGATCCTCTAATCAAATTTAAAAATAGTTCAGAAAGAACTCACTGCTCTCACGGGTGTAAGGAAACAAGAAGCAAAAATTCGGGTAAAATGAATTCCTTTGCCAGGCATTAAGGGGCATTTCCGCTGACTCTGAGCCCCCTCCTCTCTGCCCTGTCTGGGACCTCCTCCTCCAGTCTGCTGGGCCTCCCATCTGTGCTCCCTGGTAGCTAAGTCTGATCCTGGGAGTGGGGTCTGATCCGATGCACCCCTCCTGCCCCTGTCCTGGCCTCCAGTACGTATCCCAGTATGGACTCTGCTACAAAACGCTGGCAAAAGGGCAATTCAAGATTCATTTAAAGTAAATAAAAGGACAGTAATTCCTGTTTCCCTACGAGAGGAGGAGCATGCATGTTTATGTCGAGCCCCTCTGCTCTGCTCAGTAAGATGCTAGTGTGAACAAGAGGCTGGTGCCTATTTGCCGGTTTGATTGACAGCAGGTTGGCCCCTCTGTGCCCAGGTCCTCTGTTGAGACTCATGGAGAGGGAGGGAGGGAAGGGGAGTGGGGAGAAGTTATGTCCCTTTGGGGTAACAATCCTGGGATCATCTATGCTTCATTCATGGGATTAAAATTAAGATTTCCAAAAGCAGATATTTTATTTATCTACCATCTTGAGTCTCCAATGAAGGTTCAGTTGGGTACAGTGGGATATGGAAACCAACCAAGGGGGTTACTTAAATACTCTCTTATAGGGGTGTAAAAAAGGTGAATGATGGCTATCTCTGGGTGGGTGGTGTATCGATTGCTTAATTTTCTTTAATGTGTTTTCTGTATTTTCTAAAATTCTTACAGTGATATGTGTTATCTCTATTGTCAGAAAAATAATAAAGCTTATTAAATGAAAGATCTTAACCTCAGTGATTGGTTACTTGGGTGAATTAGTTTGAGAATGAAATTGTCTCTCCGGTTCCCTGATGGTCACAGAACCCTGACGTCAGGCCCAGGGCAGCATGAGGCACTGCTCTCCTCCTCTGCTTTGTGCCATCTGGTAGGTGGCTCCCATGGGGCTAAAAGTGAAAGGGATGTGGCAGGTACCTACCTCTACATCAGTCAAACCTACCTGCTCTTGGTGATCAGTAAGGGTGACAGCCAGGGTGAGCAGGCTGGTCTCTCAATGGCCTGAAAATTAATCAATCCATACAAGCGATGACTATTCTCTGCTTGGACAAAAAAAAAAATACATTTTAAAGTTTACGTGGAGATTGGGAAGGATAATTACTACTTCAATACATTTAGTATTGGCTGGAATGTTCTTAAAATACTGTTGAGCTGGAAAAAAAATTCATACCACAACATCCAATCATAAGGCTCTTAGGGGCAGAGGCCATACCTTCAGTTTTGTTTGTGTCATTTCCTGGTCTCTGTGCCCCTCCCCCAGCACCAATATATGGCTATGACTCCTTCAGGAACACCTGGGTAGCAAAATCTCAGTTTAGGAAACTCAAATTGATGTATTCAGGTTTTGTAAGTACAAAACCCCCAAATTTGTGTTTTCGAAAGGATTCACAAAAAAATTTTCTTCAAATAGCATACCTCCTTGCAGCATTTAAAATGTTTTATTAACAAATGTTTGTGTGTTCCGAGTACAGTTTGGTAACATGCTCTTTCTGCGCTGAGAGCAGATATTTTTTGTTAAAAAGTACTTTTTAATTAGGTATAACATATAAACTGTAAAGTGCATTAAGTATACCTCTCAGTGAATTTTTACATATGGATACACCCATGTAAAGACACCAGATAAAGACATAGAGCACTTTCTGAACCCCCAAATTCTTCAGTATGCCCTTCCCTAGTCAGCATCCCCCCCCCGGGAAAGGACTAAATTCTATCACCAAATTAGTTCTGTCTTACATGGAAGTACTCTCTATAAAATGAAGTGCAGCTACTTTGGTTCAAGTAGGTTGGAGGACCTACCCACTCCTCTGCTGATTTCTACTTTCCCCCTACTTCCCAGTCCAGGATCTCTCTGATGCCCTCCCCACCTCCATTTGTCTATATTGTGGTTAAAAAAAAAAAATATATATATATATATATATAACATAAAATTTGCCATTTTGAACAATTTTAAGTATACAGTTTAGTGACATTCATTACATTCACAGTATTATGCAGCCATCACCACTACTTCCAAAACTTTTTTTTAATCACCCCAAAGGAACTCTAGCCATTGAATATACTCTCATTTTCACCTCCCCTCAGCCCCTCATAACCTCTTAAGTACTTTGTGTCTCTATGAGTTTGCCTGTTCTTGATACTACATAAAAGCAGACTCATACAATATTTGTCCTTTTGCATCTGGCTTCTTTCACTTGGCATAATGTTTTCAAGGTTCACCCATGTTGCAGCCTGTGTCAGAACGTCATTCCTTTTTATGACTGAATAATAGTCCACTGTGTGGCTATACCACATTTTGTTATCCATTTGTTGGTGGACACTTGGATTATTTCTCTGATTAACTTTTTAAAAAGACATAAAATATTTCTTCTTTTTTATTTTCTTGATTTAAGTAATTTTATGCTTGGGAAAAGACCAGATATTTTAAAAAATGTAAGAAGTGAAAACTTTTACAATTAAGATGGAACAGATTTTATAAACATTACCTCTAGTTATTTTAAAATTATATTAAACAAGATAATCCTTTTTAGAGCACCTAGTACAATGCCTGACATACAGCAAGCACTTAAAAAATTAGTTTTTGTTATAATACTTCTAAAAATGAATGATTTTCTTTAAAGATTGAGTACAATCTCAGGCTATTTTTAGCACAGTACTATTTCACACCCTTGCATTGGAGTTCAGTCAGTTGAGAGTCAATCAACCAGCATTTACTGAACATCTACTATGGGCCAGGCACTGTTCTGTGCATATATGAGACTTTAGGGATTATCTAATTCAACCATCACTTTACCAGGAAATAAACTGAGGCACAGAGGGTGAAATGATTTTTCCATGGTCACTCTACCCCTAAACAGCGAAGCTGGAAGCTTTTCCCACTCTCTCTTTACAAATAGCAGCATTTGATAAATGCACGTGGACTTGACTGTACAGTCGATTCCCCAGGAGGCTACGTTTGTCAGTTCTCCCCTGTTGTCTGTGGTGGTGTCAAACAGGTCCACAAATCTAACAGTTCCTTTACAAGGTGAAGCCTAACTCTCCTCCTCTTGTGTATGGGCTGGACTCAGTGACTCCTTTTTAAGGAAGTGAAAAATGGTGGAAGTGACGGTGTACAATTTTGAAAACCAGGTCATAAAAGGTACCACAGCTCTGCCTTTCTCCCTCTTGGAATACCTGCTCTGCTGGAAGTTAACTGCAGTGTGTTTGATTATACACACAGCCCATGGAGGGGCCCACAGGGCAAGGAACTGAGGCCTCCAGCCAAGAGCCTTGTGAGTGAGTCATCTTGGAAGTGGGTCCTCCAAACCCAGTCAAGCCTTCAGATGTCTGTAGCCCTGGCCAATTACTTAACTACAATCTTATGAGAGACCCTGAGCCATAACCAGCCAGCTAAGCCACTCCTAAAGTCCTGAGTCTTATATAATGTGTGACATAGGACATCTTCACTGTTTCAAGCTGCTACATTTTGAGGCCGTCTACTATATACCAGTAGAGAACCAACACACTCCCTTACTGTCACTTTATATTTACTCCTACCCTCTCTTGAGCTTCTTCCAATATCCTATGTTACAGTCTGTATTTGGGGGGCAATGACCGACACGTATGTTTTACCGCTGATACTGTTTGCTGTATTTATTTATCTAATAGCTTTACTGAGTTGTAATTCACATACCATAAAATGGGCCACATGTAAAAACTGTGGTAAAATCTACATAACTGAAAATTGATCGATTTCACCATTCTAATCATTTTAAAGTGTACAATTCAGAGGCATTAAGTGTGTTCATGATGTTGTGCAACCATCACCACTTGCTACTTCCAGAACATTTTCACCTCCCACATGCAAACCCCATACTCACAGCCGATGCACTTTAAAAGATTATTTTTTGCCCCCCAAATCTGGAATAGTCATGAAGTGACAAAGAAAAACAATAAAATAAAACCCTTCTTTAAAGGTAAACAAATTCAGAAAGAAACACCATTCATACTTCTAATGACAACATATGAATCTGTTCACATTCTTGTACAGAATAAGAAAATCTAATGAGATGCATTCTCTTACAGCTAATACAAAATCTCCAATCAAAGGTTTACCAAAAAATCAGTCTTTAAAATTCCTTTTAGAGTCATGGAGTGCAGAACATCCACATATGTACACAGCAGTCAAGGAACGAGAATTGGGAACGGCTGCTGGGAGAACAGCAGAGGGAGCAAACAGGTGTCATGTAGTGATGGCTTCCAATCTTACAGTATTAGTGGTACCTGCGGCTCCGGGGTTAGACGGATCCAGAAGGAACATCTGGGCTCAGTTAGTTCATAGCCACAGGCTTGGGAGTGAGAGGTAATAGCATTTTGGCCAGCTGTATGCCAACCTAGGAGCCGAGGACAGGTTAGTAACAGGTGTCATTAGTTCTAGCACCATTTCCTTCCATTCGTTGTATTTTAACACAAGTTAGTCGTCACCAGAGATTATTGCTCCTGAACTGAAGGATGGCTGTACTGTTACCTCTATCTCATTACTTGGTGGTTTTAGTTTCTAGTGTCCTCTGAAGAACAGAACTGAGGATTATTGGCAAAAGGGTACTATTAGAAGGCATATCTCCCTCCAGAGGGGAGGAAACAGAGGATGTTACAACTTGACCATGGCATGTCCCAGACTGCCCAGATATGCAAACTGGGCTCCTGCCTCAGATGGGCAGCTTGAGAACAGAAAAGCCATGGATGGAAGATATTTATATTCAGCCCCACATGCAGCTCACTGGCCTGGCACCTTTCATGGTGTGAGACTTTCTCATTGACTCATTTGTTCATTCATTCATTCACTCATTCATTGTTTTTTAAAGTGTATTCAGTGCCCTCTGTGTGCCAGGCACTGGTGATCAGCAGTGAATGAAGCTGTGGAGCTAATGTAAAAAAGAAGATAATTTTTGGACATATATCTCTGAGTTTGACACTCTCTGGCGCTAATTTGGACTGGTCCTTGTTAGGACACTGGTGGGACTGAGAAAGAGCCAGCAGGTCAAACTGTGCATCCTGTTTCCCCAGCCTCAGAACCTCAGCACAAGCAGTCAAGCTGAGAGAATGTGAGAAACGTGGATGCGCCTCTTCTGCAATACCAAGGCCCAGGATCCCAGATGCTGGCCATTTTCTTTTTCAAACTGCCCACTTCCATCATCTCAGGACAAGGTTATCCCTTCCCCAGGTTTCTCCTCACTGCGAGGTAACAACAGTGCAACTGGATATCTAATGAGACAGCCACGATCATGAGAATAAACTCCATGAAATGAGGAAAAATGCCAGCAAACTGATGACACAGACCAAGCCCTGCCCACCCAGCCCTCTGGGCGTCCGCCGAGAGGGTGCTCACAGAGCCAGACGCACCTCCCTCTCTGGGCAGCGCTCTAGCTTCAGTGTCAGGGGCAAACGGAAGGCAGGCCTCAGCAGAGTTCCAGAAACCAGTGGTGCCCAAAGTGGAGAAGCAAAGCTGCCTTCCCAGGCATGGGACTCCCGGGTCAGAAGAAAGGGTAGAAAAACAACCACAAAGGGGGTTGGGGCTTGCAGGCAGTCCAGACAAAATGAGCAATGGCTGGGAAAAAACCTGGGGGTAAAAACACATTCCTCTATTGTAAAAGTGAAAACAAGGAGCAGGCATATTGCCACGCCGGTCTCAACAACAAAACGAGCCTTATGCTCTATGACGGGATGAGGGACGAGGTGAGTGGTGAGATGCGTGAGCGAGGGGCGAACCAAGGCGAGTTCTTCGCATGGAATGCCCGAACACGATCTCTCCCAGCCAGGGAGAACCTCTGGCCAGCAGAGCCATTAACAACTGTCTGTTCCTTTCATTTGTTACAAGAAACATGAGTCACTCTAATAAAACCCAGCTATCGGCAGAGGGGTATCCAACATATGACTTGTGAGGCGAAAAGAGCCAGCTGCTCCGGCCTCCAGGACTCGAGAACTTCCTATTGCAATTCGACTTCCCAGCGGTCCCACAGTTCAGGAGAAAGAGGATGAACCCAGTCACCCTCTCCTCCTCTGGACACATGCCCCAGCCAAAAGCAGAAGTGTTCAGATTTTATCAGCTTCTCAAATGTACTAGGGGTTGAAGTGAGACACCTACATGTGGTTTAGGAGCCAGACAAGGGCCAGGTGAGCCCAAGATGAGAGAACAGATGAGACAAGTCACACAGTAAAGGCCTGAAGTCCAACCTGCAACAGAAGGAATATCTAGCCACCACTGCCCACCCCACCCCCCGTCGGGCTGCCTGGAATCCTACATCCAAGGGCCCCAAGCCCCAGTGGCCTTGGGGTCACAGCGGGGATCTTGCGCCGGGAAGTACACAGGCACTGAGTGTTTCTGGTAGAACTGCAGGCGGGAGAGGAGCTGCCTGACGATGTGTGGGTATTCCCTTGACAGGTCGTGCCTTTCCTCGGGGTCCTGATCAATATCAAAGAGCCAGAAGGTCTTGGTCGGTGGGTCCGGTGAGGATATCTCAGAAACATTGTATAGAGACGGTGGAGGAAACCAGTAACCACAGCCTGGTGAAGAAATATAATAGTTTATTGGGGGAGAAGTATTGTAGGCAGGTTCTAATTTTAAGGAAGGAGTCTGCGGGACAAGGCTGAACAGGGCTTGGGTCGGGACATGGAACAAAGTTGTGACCTATATCCAGATCTGCCTCAGATTCTGACCTCTGGGGCTTTAACTAAACATACCTCACCGCTTCACCACCAGGGCGTCTGGAAACACGCATGCATGTATGTGTGTAGCGGGGGGACTGGGAAGTGAGGTAATTTTAAGTCTTCACAGTGACTTGGGCGGGGGAGGGGGTGTGATTGCCATTCAGTGGTCATGGGCCAGGGATGCTAAAGTATCTTACAACATAGGGGACAGCCAAGAATGTCCTCATTATAAACATGGCTTAACTGCATCACAGTCTTAACCATCATCCCACATACCAGGAACATATTTAAAAGATGTCACTTTTAGAGAATGTGCGCAGGGGAAGCCACCTCCTCCTGTGGCTACACCATGGGTTGCGGATGAAGCGTTCAGAGGTTCTCTTTGCTAGCTGGATGTGCCGTGTGTGACGGCCACACAGATTGGAAACTTATTTTCCACGAAGCACTAGAGCTGCCTTTCTTCCTCTTACCCCTCCACCCCTACAGTTAATTCTCAATTGCTTAAAATTCAGAACCAGATTACACTCCTCCTCCTCACTCAGCAGCCCCAGAGATCCTGTTTTACAAAAGGCCATTGTTCTTTGGTAAAGTTTTCCTTGCTGTCCTGGTGGGAAAAGCTAAGCATTCTACCTGGGTAGCCCGTGAGGAGTTTCCAGTTCCTGTGTCTAATTGCAGCATGGACAGATGTGTTGAAGGCTGAATGCTCTGGAAGAGAAGAACCATCCTTTGCTGGAGCCATGCTGTTCCCAGGACCTGGGGAGAAAGAGTTTGGAAGAATTAGATCACTGTTACTGGAATGTGTCGTTATAAATCAACATTTTATACCCCTCTTGCCGAACAGTAGCTTTTATTCAACTCTGGCGCGTAAATGTGTGTCCCGCCACAGAAACGAATCTTCTATTAAATACAAACAGAAAGCTACAGTTATGTTAAACGTCAGTCATAAACCACCACAAATATAAAGGAAATCCCAAAGAGATTAGAACACTAATTCATCCTTAAAACCACTACGTTCTGCCAGCGTACAGCTGGCCATATGGAGCTGTGTTCTGCGACAGCATACTGGCTTGTTTTTTTGGTATGTTGTGGTTTTGCTTTTAAATGATTGAATTCCATAAATACATTTTCTGTGTATACTTATACCTCTGTAGATAGTATAAGACATTATAAAGTGCACATTTTAATGGAGTCTGTCTCAAGCCATGAGAGTTCAAGCATGCCATGATAATCGTACACGTATACTTTTTTTGGCCCCACTTATGAAATCTAAAAGTAAGCAAGCAATGCTCAGTTAACTATTCAGACACGATAATTCTGGGTTAAGAATTAGTCTGGTATATAAATCATTGGTTGGCATCATGGATTACATTAATCTATCATCTTGAGGTCTTATATTAATTGATCATCAGATTTTGGGGGGAACAATTAATATTACCTGCTCCTTCTTACCCTCTCAAGTTTTAGAACCAACTGAGAGGTAGAGGCCAGACAGATAGAGTGAAAAATATTGCTTTTGTTACTGATAAAGTTGATTGGAGAGAACACAGCTTCAAATTTGTGGCAGAGAGGACTTGCTAATAATTGACCCTTGACTTAGAAAGACTAAACCAATCATCACTGATCTTGCTGGACAACCACTGGGCTCCCTCAGAGCACACAGCCCAGAGCCAACCAGAGTATTGCCATATATGCTGCGGACAAGCTGGCTCCAAAAGTAGACAAACAGAAGGGTCTGACTGAGCATGCTCAGTTTCTTTCGGATAACTTCCTCCTCTGCCTGGTTGTGAGGAGGAGCGAATGAGGTGCAGCACGAGAGAGCTGAGTTCTACTCTAATTGAAGACCCTGGTGGATTCCTGACCACAAGGTATGCAGGTCCCCACCTCACTCCTACCTGTGCCTGCTTAAAAGCCTCAACTTAGGGCCTAATTGTGTAATATTCAGTCTGTCTTAAATCCACATTTATCCATTAACTTTTCAAATATGGTCACAGCAATCATCTTGGGTGCACTTTCAAGGGCTGCCAGGCTGCCCTTCCAACGGCTCATAGCTGGTGTGTGAGATCACTCTCCACCATCTGTCCAGCATCACCATCGTGATATAAAGGATGCTGAAGAGTGTCCCCCACCCTGCAAGAGCAGGACTTCCATGCTGCGCAGGGTTTAAAGTGGGAAGCACCGTCAGTGGTGGAAAAGGCAGGGGGTCCCATTCTTTTGTAGTCCTGTGGGAATGACCCTGAAGAGGCAAACTGAAGACTGAGCCAAAAAAACATCCGTGGTTTCAGACCTTCAGTCTTAACAATCAGTACCAACAAATCGTTAGCACCAAAGAGGAAATCTTTGGACTTCTCATTTCTCTGTTTGTTTATGGCTATTTTGGCTCCAGTACAAACGGATGCTTCTTGTGATGGAGGCGCACAAGGACGTCTATCATAGGAAGTACGTTAACACACAGACTGTGGATGAACTGCGAGCCCTCATCTACTCCTCACAAGTTTGTCCAAAGACCACATTCTGATACCAAAGAATGTTAAATTAAAACAAGTATGCTTTGTGAACATAAGCAAGGAAGGAAATTAAGCCATCTCAGCTATACTTATATTTATATACACTTATTTTTCAAAACAAACAGGAACATAAAATACCCAAACGATAAATAAGTCTAAGACTAAATGATAAAAGATGCTGTTATCTCAACTGAATTTTTTTCATTTTGAGGAATTAAACAAAGAGAAGAGTACAAAGAATAACACAACGAATACCCTGTGAGCCGTCACCCAGAATGAACAGATGCTAACATTTTGTCACACTTGCTTTTTTTTAACAAAAGAAGTAGGACAATTAAGATGAAATGACAGTCTCCTTTCTCCCCTCATCCTCAATCCCAGTCCCTTCATCCACTGATTCAGAGGCTGCTGCTGTCATGACTTCAGGGCATAGAGTATCTTTCAGCCATTTAAAAAATACAGTAACATATGTATGTGTCAAGGAATAATATATAATATTTTTATACTTTAGAAACGCACACGTATGTGTTATGTTATACATACTTTATAACGTGCTTTTTCATCCACTACTATGTTTTTAGAGCTGTGTGATAATGTATGTATGTAAGTGTATATACATATATATGTATCTCTTTTAACTAATACTTCACTATATAAAACTACCACATTTTACTTATGCATTCCCCCTTTGAAGGGAATTTAGGTTACTTTACTAATTTATTTATTAAGCTATTACAGTTGATCCTTGAGCAACACAGGTTTGAAATACATGGGTCCACTTACACACGGATTTTTTTCCAGAGTAAATATTACAGTACTACAGGATCTGCGGTTGGTTGGATGCATGGATGTGGAACTGTGGATATGGAGAAACCACGGGCACAGAGCACTGGCTGTAAGTTATGTGCCCAGAGACAGAGACTAGTGCCAAAGGAAAGCTGTAGCAAATGAGGCAGAGAAGAAGAAAGTAATATGAGGAAGAAAACCAATTCAACAGCACATCACAGATGTCAAGAGAGCAGGTTTCAGAGCATGTCCAGAAGGGCCAAATATTCCATCCATCAGCTTGATGGATGAGAAAAGGGCATGGGATTTGTTAACCTCCAGGCAGAGATGAGGGAGTTCAGACAGAAGCATAAACAAACACATCTTTCACTTGCCTTCTGAGCTGAAAACCACCTCTGAGATAATAAAGCTTTCTGGCCAGATTGAAATACTCAGTTATAAGATGGACTGGTCTTGTATATTGATTTTGGATGTAAAGGAGATAAGCAAGAAAAAAAAATTTTGGCAAACAAAAGAAATCACTGTCTTACGTAATACACAGTCAACTTATAGACCTTGTCTGAGCAGCCTCCAGAAAACTAAAGGAATTCAAGTTTCCAGAATGAGCTGTCCAATGGTTTTCAGTGGAGAGCTATGTTTTCTGGAGCCAGAGGGTTTCCAGAAGCATCTTGGGAGTTGCCTCTAGAAGGGATAGTGAGTTAATGGGGAGAATCCAGGTTCCCCATCTCCATTTCAATCTGTGCAGTTTAATCCTTAAGAAAGAATCTGAAGTACTTGATAAATATATTGTACATTTTTGTTTGAAAAAGAGTCTGCAGCTAAAATATAACTTGAAAGACACTAATTAGTGATTGGCGATGGATTCATCAAACTGGGAAGGGACTGAAGGATGCCTGGGACACTTCTGATCTTCTGGTGTTATGAAAGGCAATCTTGCCCTCTTGGCTGTTCAATGCAACCTTCCAACTCTTGGGAAGCTACCGTCTCATATAATCTATGATTGTTATAAAATACATGATATTTTTCTGACTATATATTTAATATGCTTATTGAATATAAGTTGGAAAATCCAAAAATGTATGAATGGGAAAATTAAAATTACCTATGAATCTATTAGCTGCTGTTAATATTTTGGTGTATAACTTTTGAGATGTTTAACTACACAAGGCTTAAATAAAATAAACATGTTCACTGACTTACAAATAGGAAGAAAGTTCGTAAAAAGCAAAGTTTCCATGTCTAGAGAAAACTGGGCAGGGTGGTGAGGAGTGCTTAGCATCCAGGGGTGATTGGGACTGTCTGGGTCTCTCCCTCTCTATAACATTCAAGTAGAATGAGCGGGTGTCACTGGAGAATGGGGCCTTTGAAGAGTGAGCATTGTGACCCTGAAGGACAGCACTGCTGGGAATGGTAATGAGAACAAAAGGAAAGGCTGTGCCACTGAAGTGAGTCCCTGAGAGCCCTCTCCCAGAGGGTCGTGGTTCACAGCAGTACAGAGCATGCCCTTTTGGAACCAGACAGCTTGGTTTCGAATCTCTGCTCCATCACTCACTGGCTGTGTGACCTTAGGTATTCGCTGACCTCTACAGGCCTAGGTTTCCTCATCTGTAAAACCAGGATAATATAACCTATTTCATAGGCTAGTTATGTGGCCTAAATGTGATGATGCATTGAAAATGTTAATTAGCACTATGTCCAGCATATAGTAAGTGCACAATAAATGTTATTATTTCCAGTTGTGCAATCTTGGGTAACTTTCTCAACTTTCCAGGCCTCCGTTTACTATCTATAAAATTAGTATAACAATGTCTCCAATGAAGACATACAAATGGCCAATAGGCACATGAAAACATGCTCAATATCACTAATTATCAGAGAAATGCAAATCAAAAGTGCCATTAAGTATCACCTCACACCAGTCAGAGTGGCCATCATTCAAAAGTCCACAAACGACAAATGCTGGAGAGGACGTGGAGAAAAGGGAACCCTCCTACACTGCTGGTGGGAATGTAGTCTGGTGCAGCCATTTTGGAAAACAGCATGGAGATTCCTCAAAAGACTAAAAACAGAGTTACCATATGATTCAGCAATCCCACTCCTGGGCATATATCTGGAGGCAATTCTAATTCGAAAAGATACATGCACCCTACTGTTCCTAGCAGCAATATTTACAATAGCCAAGACATGGAAACCAACCTAAATGTCCATTGACAGATGACTGGATAAAGAAGTTGTGGTATATTTATACAATGGAATACTACTCAGACATAAAAAATAATAAAATAATGCCATTTGCAGCAACATGGATGGACCTGGAGATTGTCATTCTACATGAAGTAAGCCAGAAAGAGGAAGAAAAATATCATATGATATCACTAAAAAAAAAAAAGACAAATGAACTTATTTACCAAACAGAAACAGACTCACAGACATAGAAAAGAAACCTATGGTTACTGGGTGTGG